CTCTCTCTCTCTCTCTGAATCTTGTTTTTTGTTAGTTTTTATTAGTTTAAGTTATTCAAGTTATGTATCCACTGATAGCAGTGTCTTATTAGTTTACGATTAATGTTATTTTGAATTTCATGGACAGTAGACCAGAGTTGTCTACCTTTATAAAATCATTATTTGACCTGACTACACACTGAGGTACAATTATTAAATTTTTTGTCCATTCATAACCCGTTGACATTCCAGGTTGCCGTGTCACTCCTGAATGCTATGGCCACATGACCAGGCTCTTGTCAAGCTTAGCCGGGGGACGCATGGTCCTGGCACTAGAAGGCGGCTACAACCTAAGCAGTATCAGTTACTGCATGACTATGTGTGCCAAGGCTCTTCTGGGCGATCCTCTACCCTCGCTTGAGTCGGGACTTGTGCCTAACAAGAATGCTGTGCAATCCATATCTGATACCATTAGAACCCATAAAAAAGTACTGGACAGCTCTTTCCTTCCAGGTAAGCCCATTTTATCTCCTTAAGAAGCCCCTATGATACATTATTATATACACTGTGTTTTAACTTTTATACTCTTAATGTGACAATTACATTATGAATGGTAGAGCTAATCATCATACTTTGTGTTCATTGCTTGGTATATGATTGAGCCTATGATTGATTTCTCTCTGTCACAATCAGGTTGATCTTCCTGTTGAGGATGTTCTGTGCCAAGGCTTTGGAGGTGGGGCCCAACCCGTGGAGTCAGGTGCTTCTGGTTCTGAAGTCTCTTCGTGTAATGTGTCTCCTGTCTCCACTCCGTCCACTGCATCCCCTCCTTATGTCTCTGCTCCATCTTCTCCTGATAAGACTTGGAAGAATGGAAAGTGTAAGGATAACGGAGCATCTCCACAATTGGAATGCAACTCTGGAAGGACCAAGTGTGATTCAGAACAAATGGACATAGACATTACACCAAACCCTGAATTGCAGAAGTCTGTGAGATGCAGAGTGAAAAGTGAAAAAGCTGCTTCAGCATCAGTTGCAGAACAAAGGGATGTAAAAGCTGGAGGAATGCAGAAACAGTTTGGTTCAGAAGGAAGTTCAAGGATAGCAGGAGAAAGGTTGGGATCAAGGTGGCACAGGGGAGAGCGCTAACCACACATCGACACCCATCCGGCCAAGTAGACCAGTAAAAAATGTAGGCCTTATGCTCAGAGCTGCTGCATCATGTGCTGGAATGTGAAAGGAACAACAGCTATTGTTACCAGTGAAAATACCTGTGATGCTTGTTATAAAGCAACCACACTAGATTCTGGAAGCATTAATGGGATTCTAAAACAATGTAAAGAATTGAAACTTTTACATGCATGTACAAGATTAGAGCCAAGACCAGCATCTGAGGAGGAAATTTTGTCAGTCCACACCAAAGAAACACTGGAAAGTCATGTGCAGAGAGGGACATGTAGCAAAAGCCCCTGTTTGGGCAACCCCTGCACTGACTGCAGCTGGAAGCTTTGTAGAGTTGATTAGTGAAGTGGTACAGGGGAATGTGCTCAATGGTTTAGCTCTTTTACAGATATCTGATCATGCCAGTTCAGGTGATCAGATAATTAGCAATAACTACATTAATAATTTAGCAGTTGGAACTCAGTATGCTTTAGATAATGTTGGGCTACAAAGGGTGCTCATTGTTAACTGGAATGCTCAGAATGGTTATAATACTCAGAATCTTTTCTACAGTGATCCAAGAGTCTTAATGTTTTCTGTTAACCTCACTGATGATCGGAGTGCAACCAAAGAGTCAGTTGACAGACGAGGAGAGAACAAGGGCCTCGGTTATACCTTTGATTTAAGCCTTAACAGAGATTCCCAGAGTAAGAACTTCACCCAAGGAGATTATCTCACAATACTCCACCAAATCATCTTACCTGTGGCCTATGAATTTTGCCCAGAGCTGGTTCTCTTAGCAATTGGGAATGACTTAGTGCACCAATCCCCAACAGTGTCTCCACTCATTTATTCTCATATAACTACAATGTTGATGCCTTTAGCTCAAGGCCATTTAGCTGTGATGTTAGAGGTTGGAAATGCCAAGGAAATAACCAAAGATATTGCTGCTGCCACATTGTCAGCACTGCTAGACAAAGCAGTAGAACTTTTGCCAGTAATTTATGAAAACACATCAGAAGTACAAGATTCAGTTGTTAATATGATAAACGTACAAGCAACAACCTGGAAGAGTTTAAAACAACATGCTCAGGCCTCCTGTATTAATGCAAAGAAGCAGGCAAATGCACTTTAACAGTATTGTGTGATGAACAGCAAAGAATTGCCAAAGCATTTGGTAAGCTATCCTGTTTGTTTTGTTTCAATCTGTATTTTAGCAAAGCATTAGTGATTTTATATATATACTGTTGGAAGACTATTTCTCATAATGTTGTAATGTATAATCACAATCTCTCTTTAGATGGTTGTGTAACTACCCCCACACATACGCTTTGCCTTGCCTATGATGAGGGAATGATGG